CCCATATTGCACCCAACCTGGGGTCCCACTGGAATCCCGCCCCATATCGCACCCAACCTGGGGGTCTCACCAGAAGCTGGAGCACAACGGGACCCCCCCAACCTCCCCCCCGGCCCCCTCCTCAACCCCCCCCACCCACCCCCCCAATCCCCCCCCATCCCCCCCCATGGCGGGGGTCCCGGGAGCTCTCCGAGGTGCTGAATCCACCCCGCAGCCCTCGGGTTGGGCAGGCGGAGCGGCGCTGCCTCAGCTCCGGCGCTATGGGGTTCTGCCCGGATGCCAAGAGTGGGGCAGAAACTTGCAGGCTCTCCTCCCCACAACCCTTCGGATGTGCTGCAGATGTCGATCTGTAGGTCACAGAGTAGTAAACATTGTGGCTGATGGGGAAATGTCACCTACCCTTCTCCTACCCCCGGGCATGACTGTACCGGGGCCGCAACGCCCGCTCTTCTCGTGGTGTGGAGAAGGGCAACAAATCACCGCAGACGGGTGGGTGTCGGGGGGGTGTTTGGTGAAGGGCTCATCAGATTTCTCGGGTTTTGTTTGTGAGCAGTGAGGTCTCACGGGCAGGATGAGGTGCTGCAGTTTGCAGAGTCCTCTTGGCTGTCAGGGACACTCAGAGCCCGGATGGGCGCCGGGTGATTTCAGCCCTGCTGTCATTTCGGGAGGAGGAGAGACTTTCTCTGCTGCTGTTGGGTGTGGGAAATCTTCCTCTGGGGCCGAACTCTGCCCCTGACCCACAGCACCTCGGGGCACAGCCGCGTCCCTCCCAGCACGAGGGTTTTCCTGCTCTGCCTTTGTCAGCTGCACGCCCTCCTCCTCCAGCAATGCTCGCAAACACGCTGATGTGGAAGTGAGGCCCACGTTCCCTCACTCCTCCCCTCAGGACGTGGGGTGGTGGCACCGGGACGCAGCTGCTCCCTCAGGATGCTCCGATGGCCCATTGGGCTCAGCTCCTCCCCATGTGCTGAGCAGTGGGGGAGGACGGAGGGATGGGGCACTGCGGGATGGGGGGGATCTGTGGGAGCCCTTCTGTGCCTCGGTTTCCCCGTGGCGATGGGGAGCAGCAGCTTCATGCAGCAGGGATCCCAGTGGGACCACTGGCAGCGCACAGCTGAGGGCGGCCCGAACCTCTGGGCCATCCCCAGTGCCCGGAGGACTTTGCTGTTGTCATGCAGAGATCAGCAGGGGAACAATAAGAAGATGGGAAAAAAAACGAGCTGTGGGTCCGGAGTGCGGAGCAGCACCGAGGGCCCGGGGCTGAGGGGCTGTGGGTCACACTTATGGGGCTGCAGAGCTTCAGTCCTGATGCCATGGGGCGAGCAGAGAGCTCGGATTTGTGGCCACGGCCCCCAGCATCGCTTCTCTCCATCCAAGACCGGAGGAGCGGGCCCACAGAGCTCCCTGGGGACGCACGTTGTGCAAATATCCCTCATTATTGCTAATTAATAAAAGCCTCGTGCCGGATCTGATCCACGTGCTCCTCCTGGCAGCGGCACACGGGGGGGAGGCGGCCCCACGCACACTTTCCCCCACGGCTCCAGAAGCCCAACATTCCTGCACGGCTCCTCCTGCCTCTCCCAGCCCCAGCGCGGCTCTGCAGTGGCAGCGCTGCCATCCTCCCCACGCCGCCCCACGTGAGGCCCTGCAGGATGGGGGCTTCCAGCAGCCCTCGATGCAGGCAGTGCTGGGTGTCCCCACATCACATCTTCCCCCAATGGGGCGCCCCTGTCCTGACCCACATCCCTGGGGGAGCGGCGAGCCTGGCTGCGCAGCGTGCTTGAGGAGCGGCCCGGAGCCGCAGGTTGGGCCATTATGTAGCGTGAGATAGCGCTAATTAATTGGCAGGTTGATACAGTTGTGCACTTAGATCACTGTCAGCTGATCCTGATCCCTTCTTGTGCAAGTGCCAGCGCTGGGGGAGCCCTGCTCTGCTCCCAGAAATGCGGGCTGCACCCGTCCTGCCCCTCTGCCCCATTGCGGGCTGTGTGTGTGTGCGTCCCACTGCTCCCCTGTGTCCCTTGCCCCTAAATCTGCATTTTCATCCATCAGATGTGGGATGGAGAGCGGCTCCTTCCTGCCCTCCTTCGTGGGATGGAAGCCCTCCCTTGGCTGGGAGAATCATGAAGCTCACAAAAGGCCTCCAAGACCCCCAAGCCTGACCCCAACCCATCCCCAGCGAGCCCCCATTCGCTCCGGGACGGGGCTGATGGAGGAGCCCCAGCTGTGCCCACAGCGTCACCAAGGGCTCCTCGAGTGCCACCTCCCCCCACCCCCAGCAACGCGGGGTCCCGTGGCACCGCAGCACCGCCGCCTCCTTTTGGCTCTGCCATGGGATCTCGCTGCCCCAGCGCCGCTTTCTCACCCCCCCCCTCCCCCCCATCAGAAGAGGAACAAGAGAAAAGCCGCAGCAGTGGAAAGTCGGGCTGACAAACACAAACAAAACTTCCTCTGGATGCTAAAAATGACAGCAGAGACAGAAAGGAGAGAAAAAAAAAGGCGCTATCGGTGGCAATAGCGGAGCGCAGCTATTTCGGGGCCGGCTGTTCCATTGCAGCGCTGGGGTTGTGGCTGCCACTTCCCCAGGGATGTGACGTATTTCCTTTCCATCGCAAACTGATTTAGAAGCAAAACTTTCTACATTTAGGCGGCGAGAGGCTCAGCTTCTCTTTTCTCTCTCTTGCACCAGTGGTGAGTGAATGGAAGGGGGGACGAAGGGGTGCGGCCAACGCAGGGTGACTGCATGCAGCTTCCTTTTTTTTTTCTTTCTTTCTTTCTAATTGAGCCCCAAAGTGAGCAAACAAATCGCCGTTCATATTTTCCACGCTGCGACGGCCTCGTGAGCGACCCAGCGAGAGTCTGCGGTCAGAGGCGGGCAGTGCTGCTGGCCCATGGCGCTGCGGTGTCACCGTGGGTCGCCCTCACTCGTGTCCTCATTCCTTTTGCTTCCATCCATGCCCCCATCCTCATTCATTCCTATCCCCATCGCATTCCACTCTTATCCCATCCCCATCCCAGCCCCATCTGTGTTTCCATCTCCTTTGCATGCCATTCTCCGTCCTCATTCTTGTTCTCATCCCCATCCCCATCCTCATCCAGCCCCATCCCAACTTTATCCCCATCCCACCTCCTTCCCCACTCCATCCCCATCCCATCCTCATCCCACCCTTATCTCCACCCCATCTCCATCCCTGCTCCATCCCCACCCCAATCCCAACCCATCCCATCTCCATCCCGTCCACACGAATATGCCATCCTCATCCCCATCCATTCCCATCTTCACCTCATCCTCACCCCCATCCATCTCCACCCCCATCCCCATCCCCAATGACTTCCCCACCCCCAACCCACCACAATGGGGCCATCCCCACCCCACCCCATTGATCCCATCCCACCCCATCCCATCCCCTCCATCCCATCCCATCCCCTCCATCCCATCCCATCCCCTCCATCCCATCCCATCCCATCCCATCCCATCCCATCCCATCCCATCCCATCCCATCCCACGCACAGACTGCAGACCCACTGATTTCCCACCCCATTTCCACCTCCCCAAGGGCCCAGAAGGACGGTGACCATTTCCCATCACATTTCCTCTCCCCTCCACCAACAGGAACAGCCGTGGAGTTGCAGTGAGCAGTGCGCATCCCCCCCTGCAGCGCTGCATGGGATGCAGCACATGATTCAGCCCCACTGGGTAAACAAGCCTCTTCCTGCTGCAGGGAAAGTCCCGGCCGCATCGGAGCCCTGTGGGGTGGAAGCTGCTCTCGCTGCTCTCGATGGGTTTGGGACGGGTTTGGGGTGAGATGCAGCACCTGGAGCTCGGCTGCGTCCTCTGACTGCTGCCCAGCGCCTCAGTTTCCCCACTCAGGCTCACGCTCCCACGCTGGGTTTGCTCCAAGCTCTGTGCCATGGGGGCATGAAATCAGCGAGGGCAGTCTGCGAGGAGAAAACCCGACTCTCGGGATGAAAGCCTAATTAAAGAGCTAATTACAGGGGAGGTCCGGCTGTGCGGCCGGCAGGCAGAGCTCTTCTGATTTACAGCTTTAATTTCGGTTTTGCTTTCCAAGAGAAGAGCAGGGATGGAGCCGCAGCAGCTCCCGCACTGCATCCCAGTGCCACCGCCAGGTGACACCGGGGCTGGATGCAAAGACCCGACAAACATCCGTGGGTTCAATTCAGCAAACAGCAAAGCTTCGAGGGGGGGCACCTTTGGGGTGCACTGAGAGCCCCACAGCGGAGCTGCGCAGAGGGATTTGGGGTTCGGAGGAGGCTGGGAGCGCTGTGGGGTCTGAGCCCCTCTAATCCTCGTGGTGTTTGGTGAGGAATTGAGTCGAGGCCACGGGGGAGCCGAGCCGAAAGCGCTCCACGAAGTTGTGCAGCGACCAGGAGCCTGGGGGAGAGAGCAGAAGGGTGAGCGGGGCGGCATCCTGCAGCTGAGCGCAGCGCGACCGCATCCTGCAAACGGCTCTGCACCGCCTGCAGGGGCCGGGCAGCGCTGCACCCTGCTGCGAGCCGCCCCTGGGGGGGGGGGGGGGGCAGAGGATGGGGACCCCCCTCCACCCCCACTGCTTCCTGCTGACCTTTGGGGCAGAGCTGCCCACGGCTTCCTCTGAGCCCACCCTGGAAATCCCCAGCGTGGGCATCCAAGGGGACGCCAAAGGACACCCAAGGGAGCATCCAAAAAGACACCCAAAGGGTCACCAAGGGGGCACCCAGGGGGGCATCCAAAGTGACACCCAAAGGGACACCAAAGAGGCACCCAAAGGGACACCCAAGGGACACAGCCGTGGTGTCACGGTGCGGGAACAGCCCCACTGATGATCTGATGACCCCTTCCATGTGCCCCCACCTCCCGCCGTGCTCTGTGCCCCCCGTGGGAGCGGATGTGGAGCCGCTGCTGTGCCCAGCATGGAGACGAGCGCCTCCAACCCCTAAAGATCTCCCTTAGAAAGGATGGAGAAAGGATGGGAACCTCTCACGTCAGGATCTGAATCCGTCCCCCCGCTCATCCCCCTGAGCACGGGCTCGGGGTCTCCCGGGGGTCCCGGAGCCGATCCTCCTGTCCCCAACTCTGTGGGTGCCTTTCATCCACGGGATGAAAGCCCCCACAAAGCCCAAGCGGAGCGCGGCGGGGCCCCGCGGGACGGGGCGAGAGCGAGACACGGCTGCTCCCCCCTCCCCGGGGTGCCGGCAGCCCTAATTAATGTTTATGGATCCTCCCGAGAGGCGCGGATGAAAGCGGCCGGGACGAGGCTGCGTTATTACAGGGCTGCGCGCAGCGGCCCCGCACAGCGGGCTGAGGGTTTTTCCTGACCTACTTTCCTACCTGCGCTCGTGCTGCTCTCACCTCTCCCTGTGGCTCCGTCCCGAAGGAAACCCCCAGGCAAACGCGGATGTGTCGGGGGCTTCCCCAGGTGGCTCCCAGCCCCGCCTCCCCCCCCCCCCCTCCAAACCCGGCGATGTGGGGCAGCCCCAAACCGCGGGGCAGCGCAGCCACCCCTCCCGCGGCTATGGGGCGTCCACAAAGGGCACCTCTGTGCCCATGGGCCCCAACGGCTCCGTGAGTCAGTGGGGCTGGGAGAGGAGGTTGTGGGGTCACCGTGTCCCCCCCCCATGCCTGAACAATGAGGCGTTTCATCTACACTTTGGTCCACTTTCAAACTCGTTTCCTGCAGGATTATATCATCGCTGGAGGAGGAGGAGAGGAGAGGAGGAGAGGAGGAGGAGGAGGAGTGCACACAGGGGAAACTGAGGCACGGGGAGCGGGCACGGCTCTGCCAACCCCTCCAGACCCACAGCCTGAGGGTAGGGGGACATATGGGGCTGTTTTCTGTCCCCCCTCCGTACCCTTCTGCCCTACACCGGACCCCCACCCCGCAGCACGTGGGGGCCGTCATTAATCAGCCCCATCGCACAGCTCTGCTGAGATTAATGATGGCCCAACGGAGGTGGGCGTGCGGCCGCTGCCCGCTTTTATCCCCATTAACCAACACTCGGAGACTTCGGCCGGGGCCGCACGCTCGCCATCATCATCCTCACAGCAGCCTTCCTCGCTTCCCAGCCCCGAAGCCCAGCCCGGCATCGCCCCGCTGCGCTCAGCTCCTGCTTTCCTCGCCTGCTCCCTCTCCCTTCCAGCACCGGTCCGACCCGAATTTCTGGCTGGGCGGATCGAGGTCGGCTCATGAATCATTGCCCGATGTGAATCCGGACCCGTAAGGGGAGGAAGGCGGCACAGCGTGTCAGTGCCCCAACCCCAAACCGCGCCACCTTCATCGGTGACACCTGCGGGAGGCAGCGACCCGCGGGCGCAGCGCGACGGGCAAAAGCGGCGCCTCCATCCCTCGTGGGACGTGCGAGGGGTCTCTGTGCAAAGCGCTGCCCAAGGGAGTGGGGGGAAACGGGGAGAAGTGCCCCAGATCAGCTCTGAGGCTGCAGTCGGGTGGGTTTTCCTCCCCCGGCCGGGCTGGATGCTGAATTCCCCAACGGGACGCGGGGGATTTCCTAAGGTCGGGCAGCGCTGCGGACGGAGAGCTGCGGGCTCTGCCGCTCCGACGGGCGGCTCGGAGGTTCTGCAGCCCACAGAACTGTTATCTGCCATCCGCTCGCAGCGCAGAGGCGGCCGCCACCCCGCGGGGCCGCAGCTGAGCGCTGCCGGGTGCGGAACCGCCGCTGCACCGCTGGGCCCGGAGGGGGGAGAGAGGAGGGGGGGGACGGAGCCGCTTCAAAAAGCGGAGTTCGGTGGGAGCGGACTCTAAAAGGGGGAAACTGAGGCCTGGGGAAGGAGGAGCCGCTTTGGGGTCGCAGCGCCGGGCCGCTGCGGGGCTCCGTCGGCAGGGAGGGATGGGGGCGCCCGGAGGGATCTGGGGCTGGGGGGGAGACACGGCAGGATCCATTCCCAACTTCCCCCCACGCAACAGAAACCGTTTTGCTTCAGAGCATCCCTGGAATAACCGCTTCCAAAGGGGCGGTGCGGGGACGCCGCCGCTCCCCCGGCTCTACCCGCGGCCCCCACCCCCAACCCGGCACCGAAACGCCCCTCCGCACAGCGCCAACCCCTTCGGCCCGCAGCGGGTCACGGCCCCTCAGCCCCCCAGCCCTCCTTCGAGCCCCAGCGGAGAAGCACCGACGGACCCCCCCCCCCTTCCCACCCGCCCACCCCGCGCTGTTCCCCCGTCGCTCTCCGCGTCCCGGCGCTCGGAGCGCGGCTCGGGGAGGTCAGCTCGGGGCGCAGTGCCCTCTTCTGGAAGCTGCGGCCCCACCGCATCTCCCGCAACGGCGGGTCCCACCGCCCCACTGAGCGCACGTGGGGTTGGTGGGGAGGAAGGGCTGATGGAGGTGACGCTCTCTCGGAGAGGGGGGGAGGGGGGGGGGGCTTCTGCTTTTTCCCGGAGTGGATTCGAGCATAAAGCGACAGAGGACAGACGGACGGCACCCGGCTGGCCAGGACGGGGGGCTGGGTGGGCTCAGGGTTAGGGGTAAAGCTGGGGTGACAGCGGGTGATGCCGGCTCTGATGGAGGGAGCGGTGCTGCAAACAGGGTGATGAGAGGGGATTCATTTGGGGATGGGAAGCCTGAAGAGGGCTTTGTGGGACGGCCTGAGCATCCCAGCTCGTGAGAGGCCGCAGGATGGATGGACGCAGAGCAGCTCTGCCAGGATCAGACCTTCCCCTCCTCATTGCTGGGGGCTGAGTGCTGTGCTGGATGAGTCTCTGCCTCATCCATCCGATCAAACCCTGCAGGCACCAGCAGCCCCTCCCGACTCTTTTAGGACCCTCTCCCTACCCGCTGGGAATACATAAGGCTGTGACACAGCAGCCAAAAGGTCAAATCCAGCCTTCAGCCCTTCAGACTCAGAGCTAATGAGCCAGGAAAGCGAACTGAGGGGCAGAACGACCCGCAGAGAGCCGTGCATGGGAGCTTTTCCCTGTGAGCCCAGCTTTTCCCTGTGAGCCCATCCCCACCTCGTGTCCCTGCTCCGGCTGGGAGTTGGCCGGCGTTGTGTCACAGCCCTCAGAGCAATCCCTGTGCCACATCTCCAGCTCTGATCCCTATCGGAGTGACGAAACTCCCACTGTCGGTTGGTTGGGGACGTGCGGGTGAGGTCTGAGCCCAATTCCACGGCCGCTGAGCCGCCCCTCTTTGTCCCCATCCGCTATTTGGTGACCCCCGCCCAGCTCAGGGCTGTCCCACCCCATCACCCCAAGCTCATCCCAAGAGCAGCCCTGCGTGGGCCTCCCCACGCTGCAAACTCAGGATGGACGGACGGATGCGGCACCCAAAGCGATGCCCCGGGGCACGGCTGCTCCTCACCCGCAGAGATGCGCTCCTCAGGACCCAGGGTGATGCGTTCGCCCTCGGGCTGCTCATACAGGCGCAGCTGGTAGCGGTGGTACCCACTGCGGGGCGGCGGCGTGGGGCGGGCGTATTCTGTGGGTGCAAAGGGAGACGAGGGGGGTGAGCATCGCCCTCTGCCCCACTCAGGCTCCCGTTTGGGAGGGCTGGGGCGGATGCCCGCGGTGTTGGGGTCGTTTCCTCCCTTTTCATGCCCCCGCTGCACCCCACGGGAGCCCTGCACGTCTGCCCAGATGTGGCTGCGTGCCACCAGCCGTGCCGCTGGGCTCCGCATGGGTGGCACACAGGGGTGTGATGCAGGCAGGCCGGGGGCTCCCCACCCCCGCTCTCCCCCTCTCCCCCCTCGCTGTGACCCCCCCAGGGATGCGTCCCTCTGGGCTCTAAGCTGCGCGGCTGCCTCTCAGCCTGACTTGAACCCAAACTCTTTGTTCGTGCCACATCACAGAGGCGGTTGGGATTCACCCACTTTTATCTTCAGTTTTTCCTTCTGACTGTTCCCTCCCCCCCAACCAGAACCCCCACCTCCCCCTTTTCTTTGCTCTTACAGGAGCCACGTTTACCTCTAGAAAAAGAACAACACCAAAGCAGTGTCTCAGCCAGCCTGTTGTTTCCATAGGGCACCATATCACCCCGCAGCCCCCCCCAGCGCATCCCCCCAGCTGGGGTTGGCACTCACCTGTCAGCACGCGCCCTCTGAGCTCCCCCGTCCTCAGCTCTGTGCCCTGAAACCACACAGAGAGGAGGTGAGATGCTGCTGAGCCCACAGCGGGACGGAGCCACCCGAATTTCAACCCAATTGTGTTTTATTTCTGGGGGGCGAGGTGCCATTTTTAGCATTTTTCTCACCAAATCCACCAGCGAGCCAACATCAACATCTCCTATGTAACACCCTCAGTATTTGGGCAGGGGGTGATGCCCCCTGCCACGGGGGTGGGGTTATGGGGACATCACTGCACTCTGGTCCTGTTGATTCCCCCCCCCCCCCCCGACCCCCACTTCCCACCGCCGCTTCCAGCTCTCATAAATCCTCCCTGACGGCACCCGTTATTCCAGTCCTGCCCACACAAAAGCTGCTGCCAGCTCTGCTCCGTCCTGACCTGCCCTGGGAGTTATTACCCAAAAAATCCAACCCCCAACAACCAACCCCGAACCAGAGGCACCGAATAACTGCGAGCAGAAGTGCACGTGGGGAGCATGGCAGCGTTTGGGGATCAAAGCTTCGCCCTGCTGCGGGAGGGAAGGAAAACGCTGCGCACTGAGTCATGGTGCCAAGGTGTGCGGCACAGCGGTTCACCTGGGTGCCAAAGGCCGCTGGTCCCCACGTCCCAGCAGCCAGAACCAAAGGGATCCCATCAGCGGGGAGATCTGGGGCGGCTCTGGGCGCCTGGGCTTACGGGGGTTGAGGGAGGAGCTGCCAGGGGTCTGCAGGGGATCCCGCGGCTGCTCTCCGTGCCCAGATGTGCGACGCAGCGCATCCAGATGTGCGACGGCCCGTCCAGATGCGTGCACCCGCTCCATCCAGATGTGCACCAAGGCGCGTGGCCCCACTCCGCCCCGCTGTGTCTGTGCTGCATGCAGACCTGCACCAACCCGTGTCCCCACTGCAGCCAGGTGTGCAGCCACTCGTGTGCAGCAGCTCCGTCCGGGTGCACAGCAATGCACGGCGCTGCTCCACCCAGCTGTGCACCAACAGATGTTCCTGCTCCATCCAGATGTGCACCAGCACGTATCCTCCCACCCTGCCCATCTGCGCGCCCCCCATCCCTCCCAGCTGTGCCGCCGCCCCCCAGAGCTCTCCAACCCCAGCACCGCCTCCACTTCTCCCATCCCATCCGGCCCGGATCCCTGGGCCGCGCCGCTCCGTGCGGCACTGAGCTGCTATTCCTGGCTTTGCCGTGGGCTCCTGGGGAGCGGCCGCGCTCCTCCCTGCTCCCCCACCTGCTCACACTGTGGGTTCTGCTCACCCCAAACGCAGCGCGTTCCCGTTCGCCCCGGGGATGGGAGAGTCAAAGGATAAAGCTCATCTTAAGAGGAGAGAGCAGGAAGAGGGCGGCAGGAAGAGTAGGGACTGGCACGATGAGAGCTGCCTTTTTTTCATAGGTGGTAAACAGCTCCTGTGAAGGGAAGGGAGCAAGCTGGGGGGGGGGAGATGCCCTGAGCCATAGGAGGGGATTGTAGGGTCAGCACGAAGCGCCTTCACCTCATTCCCCCACCACGAGCCCAGCTAATGGATGCTGCTGAGCTGCTGCATTTATTAATGCCCTTTTACGAGAGCATTAGCAGTCCCTAATGACACCATTTGTGCCTTTTCCCTCTCTCTTCCCCCCGCCGAGGACGCGCGTTTCCATCCTCCATCCACAGCTGTGTCAAGCAGCGCTGATGTGCGCAGACTGCCCTCAGATGCGGTGCCACAAACCTCCGTGCCCCCATTCCCTCACCCCAAAGAGTGGAGAAAATGATTTCCCCCCTTCCCAACGCCATTCTGTGGCCGTGCCCTGATTCCCCCCTGTGCCGCCTGCGCCGGGGCGGGGAGGAGAAATAAATACAAATAAATTAAGACGGCGGTGAGTCACGTTTTGTTTTCCTCTTGGTCTCCTATCTGTATCTATACGCACATATCTGCTCCCTCTGCTCCCCCTCTGAGCGATCCCATGGAGAGCAGGGGGAAGGGCAGGGTGGTGAGTGCAGCGCTTCGTCCGGGCGAGGACGGGATGGAAAGTGGGTGTGGGAATCGGCGCCGCAGCTGGAGGGGATCCAGGACAAACAGGCGGCGGATGGGACCACGGCTGTGGGGCTGCGGTGCTGCCCTGGGGACCCCCTGCGAGCGGAGGGGGCTCAAACACAGCGGTGATTTTTTGTTGTGGGTCCGTTTGACCGCGGCCCTGTGTGGAAATGCCCCCGCTCGGAGGTTTTCCTGGTGGAAAAAAAACCCATCAGCAGAATGGGATCGCGCTCACCTCAACCCCCAGCCTCGTTCAGCCCTGAGATGGCCAAGGAGAGCACGGAGGAGAGCAAGGGAAACTCTCCATCCCATTACTCCTGCATGGAGAAATCCCTTGGGGAGAGGGATGGACGCAGATATCCCCCAGCGCCCCAAACCCCAGCGCTTCCAGCTCAGCTCAAGCACCAAAACCGACTGCTGTTACCCCAGTGCTGTTCCATGATGTCGCTTCCCAGTGGCACCACCACCATTCCTCAACAGAGCCTCCACCATTTCTCGATGGGATTTCATTTTGCGATGGCACCAGCGCCGCTCCTCAATGGGGCGCCCTAATTCCTCCCTAGGACACCACCTCCCCGTGGGACCACCATCATTTCTCAGTGGGGCCACCAAAAAGATGCCGCCGCCGTGGCTGCCCACCCTCACCACAAAAATGAGCCGGCGCTCGTTGGGCCCCCCAGGAATATCCTCATGGATCCCCGGTGGATCAAGGGGTCCCAGTGCCCACCTCGTGTCCCCAGCAGAGCCACAGGGCTGGGACATGGCTCCAGCCAGCATCTCTTCGGGTTTACGGGATCAGCACCCAAAGGATTTGCCCCAGTTGCTTTTAGGACCATGAGGCGCTGACTGCTGCTGTTTTCTTCTAGAAAAGAAGAAAATGGGGAAAGCCACCATAAAAATATATTAAAAAATAAATATCAGGCATGGGTGTAATTCAAATGAATGCTCGTCTGATATGCCCTAATGCCCCGGGGAGGGACGGGCTGTGGGGTAATTAAGCAAGCAAAATAAACACAAATCACCCCGGTGTTGGGCTCTTTGCAAAATGCTTTATCTTGGAGCGGGGAGAAAGCACTGCACTGCCCCAGCTCTGCTCCTCGGGTGTGGGACGGCTGCTCTGCAGGGCTGGGGAGAGGGCAGAGCTCTGCCGGCCCCCAGGAAAGGAGCTGTGGGGGGGAGAGCCACGATCAGAGCCCTGAGATTCCAGTGCGGGGAATGAGCTCAGAGCGGCCACGAAAAGGGCTGGGGAGCGGATCTCAGGAGTGGAAAACTCATCGGCTCCGCGTCCGTGCGGCTTTAAGATCAGCTGGCTTTTCCAGCAGCACATTTCCGGAGGATTGTTGGAGAAACACCAAATTCTGCCTAATTCAGGCACTTAAAGGACCGGAGCCCGATTTTGTGCGGAACCCACACCGACACCCTGCCCTGCGGTGGGACGGGGGGAGGACGCAGCCGTGGGGACACGGCGGGTTTGGGGACACGGGGACGTCTGCTCGGTGTGCACAGCACCAGCACCTCCCTGGCCGTGGGGCACAGCACGGAGCCCAGCTGCAGGCACGTGTACCAGAATGCCACCCGCGTGCCGTGCTCCATCCCCGCGGCAGATCCGGGCTCTGGGGCCACGCAGAACCCCATTCTGCTGCAGATTTTTAGGGTGATGACCTCAACGTTGCTCTTTTTGAGGTGCAGGGATGCTGCACCCCGTCCCAACCCTGGGGCAGGGGGGGAATGCGGCCCCGCGTGCCCCAAAACCTCTCCTACACGTTTTCCTTCTGTCTGATCCCCATCCCAGCACCTTCCTGGGCACGGGGGCGGATCAAAGCCCGCGCGTGCCAACACTACGACTGCTCTGGGCCAACTTGGCTATTTTGGAATCCCTAATCTGATGGGAGCAGTGGGGAATCTGATGGAAGCAATGGGGAATGTGATGGGAGAAATGGAGAATCTGATGGGAGAAATGGGATGGGAGAAATGGGGATTCAGACGGGAGCAGCGGGGAGTTGTGTGGGAGCAAAGGGGGTTCAGATGGGAGCGCTGGAGAATTGTAGGGGAGCAGTGGGGATTCAGATAGGAGAAACTGAGAATCTGATGGGAGAAATGGGATGGGAGCAATGGGGAATTGAATGGAATCAGCGGGGAGCCAGATGGGAATGGTGGGGAATCGAACAGAAGCAAGGGGGAATCTGATGGGAGCAATGGGGAATTGGATGGGAGCAGTGGGAAAGTGGACAGAATCAGTGGGGAATTGGATGGGGGCAGCGGGGAAGTGGAGAGGAGCAATGGGAAATCAGACAGAATCTTCGGGGAACTGGAGGGGAGCGGTGGGGAGCTGAACAGAATCAATGGGGAATCAGACGAGAATGATGAGGGAAGAGCACGGGGGTGGGGTTTTGCTTTTTCTTTCTGTTATTCTTTCTATTATTTCATCTTCTTCTTGCCGGCCAAAAGCTCTCCCCTGCACATCTGGGGATGAGGAGCTGCCCGGCCCCCGCAGTGCATCCGGGTGCCGCGGGCTCAGCCTTGCGGCCGCTTCCTGACAACAACTCTTGGCAGCGGGCGGAGGGAGAGTCCGGCCCGGCCCTGGGGATGCAGCGAATTTGGACAGGAAACGCCTCAAATTGGAGCGCTTCCCTCTGCTGTTACTCTGTGTTTTGCAAGGAGGGGGGGCTCCTCGCAGGAGGGGGGGGTTGAGGCGTTGCTCGGCGAGTTTTCGCCTTGGTTCGGGCGCTGAGAAAAAGCCACGCGCGCGTTTGGCTCCAACTTTCTGACGCCGAGCATCCTCTGCTCCCCAGGGATGCAGGGCCGTGGGGTTCTGCAGTGCTGGGGCCGCCCCATCCCGAGGATGAGGGGTTAACAGCACCGCGGTTACAGCTGCAGGGAGGCTGCCAAGCCGCCGTGCCACAGACTTCCCTTTTGTCCATAAAAGTCCACCGGATCCCAGATCCCACGGGGCGCACGGGGCGCGGAAGGAGGGGGGGCGGCCGCCCCACCTGGGGCGCA